ACAACATCAGCAACTAGGATACACAGTTAGCAACGCTTAAATCGCTTACAACAACGCTTCGCATGCGGCCACAGGAAAAACTCCTTTCTTCCTGTGTTACGGACGGGAACCACTTACACCACAGTAGCCAACTACACCGGCACACGTCCAAGCCGCACACGACTTCGTCACCACCATGCAGCAGCTATGGGAGAAAACTCAGCGACGTCTCACCACAATGCAGAACTCCTAGAAGCAGTATGCCGATCGCCAGCGACGAGATCACTCAGTAGCAGTCGGAGATCAGGTGCTTCTCGACACACGCAACTTGGACTTATCTCACCATCCGTCCAAGCTCCGACCTCACTTCTGTGGTCCCTTTTGCGTTAAGGCACAGGTGACACCAGTAACATTCCGCTTACGCTTACCTACTACGTGGAAGCTTGACAATGCTTTCCATGTTCAGCTACTGAAGCCCTACAAGGAGCCCAACCAATAGTTTACAGGACGACAGCTACCGCCACCACCACCTGTTCTCACACAGGATGAACCAGAGTACGAGGTGGGACGTGTGCTCGCTCATCGACGCAAACGCGGCAACACGCTCGAGTTCCTGATACGCTGGAAGGGATATGACCCATCGAAAGATAATTGGGTTGCAGATATATCTGCTATAGAGTACCCCACTGCAGGCTAGACAAATATCACATTCTGACACACCGATTATCAAAGTGGGGTATAATCAGCACAGCAAGCAGTCATAGATCAGGTTCACAAGTGCAAGCAAAGCTAGAGGCATTCACGAAGGGCAAGTGAGGAGGAGGAGGCAGGACTGTGAAAGGAGAGGAGATAGGAGGCGACGGCTGAAGCTGCAGACACACTGGCAACACGGAGCGGCTGGCTCCGCGGCTAAAACGAGCGGCAGGAGCAACGGACCCACGAGCGACTGGCGTAGCAGGCTCGCTGGGCTACCGGAGTACTGGCACTGCTGACGACACGACGGCTGCTTCCCCCACCTGCTCCACCCCCCTTTCACACACCCCCTCTTGCACCCCTAGCTCCAATCCCGTGTCACCCCCCCTAGCGCGACTCCCTCGCCTCCCACACACCCACCCCCCTCAGCGACAGCTCCAGCAGTGGGAGAGAGAGGAGGAGGAGGAGCAAGAGACGACGCACACCCGCCACCCCCATACCCGCCACCCCCACATGATAAGAAACGAGGAATGAATGCATTGAGTAGAATGAGGAGTACAAGTAGTAAACCCTAAAGTGTTGTACCCCATATGAACTGCCCCACTACAGCCTACATAGACTATAGCATATATGCCTGACACACCCCCATAGGCAAAGTTGGGGAGAACAAGGGGTCACAAGACCAGTCAAGCAAAACAAGGCAAGCTTAGGGTGGATCACAACATCACCACACAGTCCGAGCACAAGAGCAAGGCCACAAGGCCAGTTCACATGCAAGATCATATATATAAAGGTAAACAAGCAAGTGTAGGTATAGAAAGAGTACAGTACAAACAAGGTCAAGAAGTGAGCAAGTGAGGCCAAGTAGGCACAAGAACTAGCATAGCACAGAAGCGCTGATGATCACAAGGCGGAAGAGCCTTGGTAAAGATATCAGCAGTGTTGGCCTCAGAGGCCACGTAGGTGAGGCGGAGCTGACCACGCTGCTGTAGCTCACGAGCCAGGAAGTAGCAGAGAGCAATGTGCTTCGTTCTGTGCTCCAGTCTGTGCTCCCGACACAAGGCCAGCATGGCCTTGTTGTCTACGTACAGAACTGGAGGAGAACGAGGCGGCTCTCCTAGGTCAGTCAGCAGGTAGGTGAGCCAGCGTAGCTCCTGTGCAGCCATGGCCCCCGCGTAGATCTCTGCCTCACAGCTGGAGGTGAGAACAGAAGACGAGCGGGTAGACCGCCACGAAATAGAGCCGGAGCCAAGGCTGAAGGTGTAACCCTGTGACGACCACTGTGTCGGCTGGTTGTCAGCCCAAGAAGCGTCAGCGTGACCTGTGAGGACCACTCGACGTCGCCCTCCAAGCACTAGCCCCATGCCCGACGTACTGCACACGTAGCGCAACACCCTCTTCGCTGCAGCCATGTGCTCTGGTCGGTGTCTCCCAGGAGCAACATAGCGTGCCAAGATGCTAAGAGGGTATGCAAGGTCAGGTCGTGTGTAGGTCATCAGGTACCTGAGGTAGCCAACAAGCTCTGGGTACGGGCCACTCGGCTCTACGGACTCATCCGAAGGCAGAGCTGAGAGCGAGTGGCGAGTAGACAGAGGAGTGGCCTGAGGCGAGGAGTACGTGAAGCCGAAGCGCTGAAGGACCTGCTGCACCATGTGTGACTGAGTCAGGGTAATGGTGTGGTGTGCTCTGTCCCGGGTGATCTGCAAGCCAAGGTAGCTGCGCAGTTCACCCAGGTCTGTGCACGTGTGTCTCTTCTGCAGCTCGGACTTCACGTGGGCGAGTCCAGTAGTGTAAGCAGTGGCAAAGACCAAGTCGTCGACGTACACGAGGATGTAGAACGGCGGCAAAGAGGTTTCGGTGCGCAGAAACAGCGACGGGTCGGCTGTAGAAGGAGCAAACCCAAGAGCCGCAAGTGTAGTCCTCAGTGTGTCGTGCCACTCACGGGGCGCCTGGCGGAGACCGTAGACTGGCCGTCGGAGGCTCCACTGGGTACCAGGAGGAAACGACCAAGTGAAGCCAGGTGGGCGGCGCAGCCAGATCTCCTCGTGCAGGCTGCCCTGCAGGAAAGCTGTGCTGAAGTCAAGAGAGTGAAGCTCGTAGTCGCGATGAGCGGCTATGTGCAGCAGCACCCGAAGAGTGGTCATCTTTGGGGTGGGAGAGAAGGTCTGAAAGTAGTCAACTCCATGCTGCTGACTGAAGCCTCGAGCCACGTAACGCGCCTTGAAGACAGGCGGAGAACCCGGCGGCCGCTTCACCCTGAAAATCCACATGCCACTGATGATGTTTGCCCCAGGTGGGGGAACCTCGTCGACGTAGGTGCCTGTGGACTTCCAGGAAGCCATCTCTGCGTCCATGGCTGACTGCCACTGAGAGGAGTAGGGACCCTCGATCGCCCTAGCGTACGATCGAGGAGTCGGGATGTCTGGTGCATCCGGGTCTCCCTCAGGGGCAATCAGCGTGGACACAAGAGGAGGCAAAGCAGCAGCAAAACACTGGAACTCCTCCTGCCTGTCCTCAAGGACGTCCGTGCTAAGAGCACACTCACCCCCGACGGACGGAGGACAGACAGACTCGGACTCAGCAACAAGACTAGTGGCGTAGTCTAGACGACAACGAGCAGCGAAGTCGACAAGCTCAGCCACTAAGGCAGAAGTAGCAGTGGACTCAAAGGAAGGGTCAGTGACAACAGTAGCTAGGAGACGCGTGACAGAAGGACTGGCAGCACGAAGAGAGTCAGACTCCGGGTCAGCAAATGTAGGAAGAGAGGACTCTGGAGGAGACGGCAACGGGACACGCAGAGGAGCAGTGGAAGGACGAAGCGCCATCTGGTGTGTGCCTGGGACCGCAGGAGTACGCTTACGCCGAACACAACTACTAGTGCGAGCAGTGCGAACAGGCGACGCAGGACGAGACGCAGGCTCATGACGCTCAGCAAGACCTCCAGTAGGACCAGTGTAGGGAGAAGGAGCAGGTAGAGGGGAGGCGGGCTGTAACTGTGACTGCGACTGGACAGGCTGTGGACACTCTAAGGGAGGAGCAGGACCAGGAGAAGGCGGGAGACCAAGAACCTGCTCTAGGAGCGGAACGAAGTACGGCCGCGGCCGCGCAGCGCCTCCAGAACCAGCAGGGACAGCACCAGTACCCCCAGCGGCAGCACCCGCGCCAGCAGCACCTCCAGCTCCAACAGTGTCAAATCATAATGTTCTGTAGGCTGTAGTGGGGTAGCCTATATGGGGTACACATTTCTAGTGTTGCATATTTGTACCACATTCCATTCCTTAGTGCACTCATTCTCGTTTCAATTCTCACATGGTATCGAGCAGGTTCCCTCGTGGGAACTGTGCCTAGGGCCCACCAAGTCGAAAGTTTTTTTTTTCCTGCCCGGAGCGCGCTCTGCCTGAGTCGCGCTCCCTTCTCTGACTTCGTCGAGCCGCCCTAGCGGCCAAGTCGCGCCGCCTTAGCGGCCCCTGATTCGTTGCCCTAGCGACCCCGTCGCCCTACCTACGACCCCGGCCCCATCGCCCTACCTGCGCCTCGGCCCCGTCGCCCTACCTGCGCCTCGGCCCGGTCGCCCTACGTGCGCCCCGACCCCGTCGCCCTACCTGCGCCCCGGCTCCGTCGCCCTACCTGCGACCCCGGCCCCGTCGCCCCCGCCCCTTGCGACCCTGGCCCCATCGCCATACCTGCGGTCCCGGCCCTAGCCTGGTCGCCCTACCTGCGCCCCGGCCCCGGCCCCGTCGCCCTACCTGCGTACCGGCCCCGTCGCCCTACCGTCGACCCGGCCCCGTCGCCCTACCTACGGCCCGGCCCCGGCCCCGTCGCCCTGCCTACGGCCCGGCCCCGTCGCCCTACCTTCGACCCGGCCCCGTCGCCCTACCTACGGCCCGGCCCCGGCCCCGTCACCCTACCTACGGCCCGGCCCCGGCCCCGTCGCCCTACCTTCGACCCGGCCCCGTCGCCCTACCTACGCCCCGGCCCCGTCGCCCTACATGCGCAACGGCCCTGTTGCCCTACCTTCGACCCGGCCCCGTCGCCCTACCTACGGCCCTGCCTGAACCGCCTACGCAGCCGAGCTGCCCGCGCCGCTCAGCAGCCCGAGCCGCCCGTTCCGCCCGAGCCGCCGGAGCCGCCCGAGCCACCCGAGCCGCCCGAGCCGCCCGAGCCGCCCGAGCCGCCTGAGCAGCTGAGGAGCCGAGCCGCGGGTGCCGCCCAGCCGCAGTTGCTGCCGAGCCGCCTGAGCTGCCCGAACCGCCCTGTGTGGTGAGCGCAGCGCCTCTGTCACTGCACTGCCCCTGCTCTACAGTCAGCGCTGCTAGTCTACTGTTGTCATGGCTACCCCTAGTGTCCTCGCTTTTGACGCCGAGGGTCGAGCCATTGACTTTGACGTCTGGGTAGATGACCTGCAGCTGTTCTTACAGTGCGATAGGGCAGACGGTCTCTCCCTCTTTGACCTCACCTCTGGTGCCTCTCCTGCTCCTGCTGCTGATGCTGACGCCACTGTTCGCTCACACTGGGCCACGCGCGATGCTGCTGCACGTCTTGTTGTGCGTCGCCACCTCCCTACCTCTGAGCGTGCGCACTTTAGTCAGTACAAGAGTGCTTAGACCTTGTACGACGCTGTAGTTGCACGCTACTCCTCCCCTGCCACTGTTGCACTGAGCCGTCTCATGCTACCGTACCTCTTCCCTGACCTTGCTGCCTTTCCCACAGTCGCTGACCTCATTACGCACCTCCGCACTAGTGACACTCGCTACCACGCTGCGCTTCCTGCTGACTTCTGCGCCAAGAACCCCCCCCCCCCCATGTACATCACTCTCTACTACATAGTCACTCGCCTCCCTGACTCCCTTCGCGTAGTCAGGGACGACTTCCTCTCAGTCTGTCCCACCACTCTCACTGTTGACCTCCTCAAAAAGTCCCTCCTTGCGGCCGAGAAGAGCATAGTCGCTGTAGGGGCCTCTAGTGGAGACCCGCGCACCCCCATCTTTGAGGGGTGTTCCCCCTCCCCCCTTCTGCCCTCTGTTGCCTCTACCGCTGCGGCCGACCTCCTTGGTCTTGAGTCAGTCGATGCGGCGTCTGCCCCTAGCGGGAGACGCCGCTCTGGCAGGGGCAAGGGGGGCAGGGGCACTGGAGGAGCGAGCGGGGGCGGTGGAGGTGGAGGTGGAGGCGGCGGGGGGAGTGGGGGTGGCGGTGGGAGTGGAGGTGGGGGTGGAGGTGTCGGTGGCGGCAGTGGAGGCGGAGGCGGCGGCGGCGGTGGCGGTGGGAGCGGAGGTGGCGGAGGTGGTGGCGGTGGAGGAGGCGGCGGAGGCGGCGGTAGTAGCGGAGGCGGCGGAGGCGGCGGAGGCGGTGGGGGTGGCGGTGGAGCTGGTCGCGGGTCTACGCAGAGGAGTGGCTCCGGTGGTGGTCCGCGCCAGCAGCAGCAGCGCGGTCGAAAGACCTTGTCCCCTCAGCAGCTCCGTGAGTGGTACATTGCACGCCAGCTGGAAGGGGGCTTTGGTCCGTGCACCTACGTCCTGCGCACCGGCGACCATGCGGGTGAGCAGTGTGGGGGTGCGCACCCCACCTAGCGCTGCTTTGGCCGCCTGACGGACGCGTGGCGTCACCAGTTCCCGGAGGCCACTGAGATCCCTCGCTGGGGCGAGCTGTCTAGGGCGGGAGTTGCCATCTGTGATCTTGATTTTGATGCTATCCTTTCTGCCATGTATGCTGTATCTATTAGTGATGAGGGTGACTGTTACCGGTGTTTCCCGCCCAACCCGGGCATTTAGACTGCTGCTCTAGGTACTGGTGAGGCTGCTGCTCTAGGTGCCATTGAGGCTGCTGCTCTAGGTGCCAGTGCGTCTGCGTCCTCAGGTGCTGCTGAGTCTGCGCTCGCAGGTACCGCGTCGGCTTCGGCCTCCCTCACCTTCACACTTGACTCAGGGGCTTCTCGCTCCTTCTTTCGAGACCGCACCACACTCACGCCGCTTGGTCGGCCGGTTGCAGTCTCCCTGGCAGACCCCTCTGGGGGTCCTATCCTTTCTCACTTCTCCACTGTCCTCCCGTGTCCGGCGGCCCCCTCTGGCACCTTGTCTGGTCTTTACCTCCCCTCGTTCTCTACGAACTTGGTGAGTGGTGCTGACCTACAGGATGCGGGGGTTCACCAGTTTACTCCTGCGAGTCAGCGGGTGACTCACTGCTCGGACGCTCGCACAGGCCAGCACCTAGCCACGTTTACGCGTCGGCCGGGGTCGAGCCTGTACACCCTGACCACTGAGTCTCCTCCTGTCCCTGCGTCTGGCCAGGTAGCTGCGTCGGGTCAGGTGTTTGCTGCAGCGTCCAGGTCTGGTCCTGAGTCTGCCCCCTGCTCGTGTCGCCTCCTGTCTCACGAAACTCTCCTCTGGCACCACCACCTTGGTCACCCCTCCCTGCCTTGTCTCCGAGGCATGGCCTCCCGTGTCCTTGTCTCTGGTCTTCCCCGGTCCCTCCCTCCCCTTCCTCCGGGGCCTGGCCCCACCTGCGTCCCCTGTGTCGAGGGGCAGCTGCGGGCTGCCCCTCATTCCTCTCAGTTTCCCCCGATAGAGGCCCCGCTGCAGACGCTTCACATGGACGTGTGGGGCCCGGCCCGCGTCCGTGGACAGGGTCACGAGCGCTACTTCCTGCTGGTGGTTGACGACTACTCGCGTTACACCACAGTCGTCTCCTTGCGCAGCAAGGGTGATGTCACTGAGGTGTTGATCGACTGGATCCGCGCAGCTCATCTCCAGCTCAGGAGGAGCTTCGGCTCGGACTTTCCTGTTCTACGTCTGCACTCTGACCGAGGCGGAGAGTTCTCCTCTGGCCTTCTGCGAGCCTACTGTCGTGCGCGAGGCATCCGCCAGACCTTTACGCTTCCGGACTCTCCACAACAAAATGGGATTGCTAAGCGCCGCATTGGCATGGTCATGGACGTCGCCCGTACGTCCATGATGCATGCGGCTGCCCCCCATTTTATGTGGCCGTTTGCGGTTTGGTACGCGGCGCATCAGATCAACCTTCACCCCAGGGTCTCCATGCCGGAGACCTCCCCAGCTTTGCTGTGGACGGGGAAGGTAGGCGATGCGTCTGCGTTACGTGTCTGGGGATCTCGGGCGTTTGTCCGCCACTTGTCTGCGGACAAGCTGTCCCCTCGTGCTGCTCCTTGCGTCTTCCTTGGCTTCCCCCCTGACGCGCAAGGGTGGCACTTCTACCACCCCACCTCTCGTCGTGTTCTGTCCTCCCAGGACGTCACGTTTGACGAGTCAGTCCCCTACTACCGCCTCTTCCCCTACCGCACTCCGTCCCTCCCCCCGCCACCGCTCTTCCTTGTGCCAGGTCCCCCCCCGGTAGACCCCCTCCCCCCTCAGGGTCCTGCCCCTTCAGGTGTGTCCCAGGTAGACGCAGTCGAGCCTGTCGAGGTTACTAGTGACTCTGGTGCTGCTGAGGGTGCTGAGCCTGGGGGTGCTGACTCTGGGGGTGCTGAGCGTGTGGGTGCTACGCCTGGGGGTGCTGAGCCTGAGGGTGCTACTACTGGGGGTGCTGAGTCTGGGGGTGCTCAGCCTGGTGGTGCTAAGCCTGGGGGTGCTGAGCCTGGGGGTGCTGAGCCTTGGGGTGCTACGCGTGCTACCCTTCCTTTGAGTCCACTGCTGCGTCTGCCCTAGTTGCTGAGCTCGTCGACTTTGCTGCTCGCTGTCGTCTAGACTACGCTGCTAGTCTTGTCGCTGAGTCTGAGTCTGTCTGTCCTCCGTCCGTCGAGGGTGAGTGTGCCCTTGGCATGGACGTCCTTGAGGACAGGCAGGAGGAGTTCCAGTGTCTGGCTGCTGCTTCACCTCATCTCGTGTCCGTACTGCTTACCCCTGAGGGAGACCCGGATGCACTTGACATCCCGACTCCGCGCTCTTACGCGGAGGCCGTAGAGGGTCCTTACTCCTCTCAGTGGCAGGCAGCTATGGATGCAGAGATGGCTACCTGGAAGTCCACAGGCACCTACGTTGACGCGGTTCCCCCACCTGGGGCGAACATCGTCAGTGGCATGTGGATCTTCAGGGTGAAGCGGCCGCCAGGTTCTCCACCTGTCTTCAAGGCGCGGTACGTGGCTTGTGGCTTCAGTCAGCGGCAGGGAGTTGACTACTTTCAGACCTTCTCTCCCACCCTGAAGATGACCACTCTTCGGGTGCTGCTGCACATAGCCGCTCAGTGCGACTACGAGCTTCACTCTCTTGACTTCAGCACTGCTTTCCTGCAGGGTAGCCTGCACGAGGAGATCTGGCTGCGCCGCCCACCTGGCTTCACTAGGACTTTTCCTCCTGGCACCCTGTGGAGCCTCCGGCGGCCAGTCTACGGTCTCCGCCAGGCACCGCGTGAGTGGCACAACACACTGAGGACTACGCTTGCGGCTCTTGGGTTTGCTCCCTCTACTGCCGACCCGTCGTTGTTTCTGCGCACCGACACCTCTTTGGCGCCGTTCTACATCCTCGTGTACGTTGACGACTTGGTCTTTGCCAATGCTGACACTGCTGGACTCGCCCACGTGAAGTCCGAGCTGCAGAAGAGACACACGTGCACAGACCTGGGTGAACTGCGCAGCTACCTTGGCTTGCAGATCACCCGGGACAGAGCACGCCGCACCATTACCCTGACTCAGTCACACATGGTGCAGCAGGTCCTTCAGCGCTTCGGCTTCACGTACTCCTCGCCTCAGGCCACTCCTCTGCCTACTCGCCACTCTCTCTCAGCTCTGCCTTCGGATGAGTCCGTAGAGTCGAGTGGCCCGTACCCAGAGCTTGTTGGCTGCCTCATGTACCTGATGACCTGCACACGACCTGACCTTGCATACCCTCTTAGCATTCTTGCACGCTATGTTGCTCCTGGGAGACACCGACCGGAGCACATGGCTGCAGCGAAGAGGGTGTTGCGCTACTTGTGCAGTACGTCGGGCATGGGGCTAGTGCTTGGAGGGCAGAGTCTAGTGGTCCTCACTGGGCACGCAGACGCTTCTTGGGCTGACGACCAGGCTACACAGCGGTCGTCACAGGGTTACACCTTCAGCCTTGGTTCCGGCTCTATTTCGTGGAGGGCTGCTCGCTCCTCTTTCGTTCTCGGCTCCAGTTGTGAGGCTGAGATCTACACAGGAGCCATGGCTGCTCAGGAGCTTCGCTGGCTCACCTACCTGCTGACTGACCTCGGAGAGCCGCCTCGTTCTCGTCTAGTGCTGTACGTAGACAACAAGGCCATGTTGGCCTTGTGTCGGGAGCAGCGCCTGGAGCACAGAACGAAGCACATTGCTCTCCGCTACTTTCTTGCTCGTGAGCTGCAGCAGCGTGGTCAGTTGCGACTTGCGTACGTGGCCTCTAAGGCCAACACCGCTGATATCTTCACTAAGGCACTTGCGCCTTGTGATCATCAGCGCTTCTATACTCAGCTTGGTCTTGTGCCTGCCTTGCCTCACTTGCTCACTTCTTGACCTTGCTTGTACTGTCACATAAAAATACTCCTGCACTTGCTTGTTTAGCCTTTTATATATATATGTGTGCTCCTGCATGTGAGCTAGCCTTCTGGCCTTGAACTTGTGCTCGGAATGTGTGGTGACTTTGTGATCCACCCTGAGCTTTGCTTTGTTCTACTTGACTGGTCTTGTGACCCCTTGTTCTCCCCCACTTTGCCTATGGGGGTGTGTCGAATCAAAATGTTCTGTAGGCTGTAGTGGGGTAGCCTATATGGGGTACACATTTCTAGGGTTGCATATTTGTACCACATTCCATTCCTTAGTGCACTCATTCTCTTTTCAATTCTCACAAACAGTGCCAACTCCAGCACCCTCAGATGCACCAGCGCCAGCAGAACCACCAGCGCCAACACCAGCAGGACCGGCAGCTCCAGTACTGCCAGCAGCTCCAGCAGGACCAACTCCAGCAGCCCCAGTAGCACCCCCAGGCCCGGCAGCTCCAGCACCACCACTACGAGCACCTCCGGGACCACTAGCAACAGTAGTACCTCCAGCTCCAGCAACACGGCTCCCGCGCCGGGCAAACCACTCGCGCAGCTCCTGTGGAGAGAGTGGCTCGCGCCTCGACGAAGCACCGCCGGCGGCCACACGAGCAGACCCAGCGCCTCCACGCTCCGCACCCCCAGGCTCCGCACCCCCAGGCTCCGCACCCCCAGGCTCAGCACCTCCAGACTCAGCACCCCCAGTCTCAGCAACCCCAGGCTCAGCACCCCAAGACCCGGCACCCGCACGCTCAGCACCTCTAGCAGCACTAGAGTCAACAGCTACCTCGACAGGCTCGACTGCGTCTACCTGGGACACACCTGACGGGGCAGGACCTTGAGGGGGGAGGGGGTCTACCGGGGGAGGACCTGGTGCAAGGAAGAGCGGCGGCGGGGGGAGGGGCGCAGTGCGGTAGGGAAAGAGTTGGTAGTAAGGCACCGACTCGTCAAAGGTGACGTCCTGGGAGGACAGAACACGGCGCGAGGTGGGGTGGTAAAACTGCCAACCAGGCGCGTCAGGGGGGAAGCCAAGGAAGACGCAGGGAACAGCACGGGGGGAGAGCTTGTCCGCAGACAAGTCGCGGACAAACGCCCGAGATCCCCAGACCCGAAACGCAGACGCATCGCCAACCTTCCCCGTCCACCGCAAGGTGGGGGAGGTCTCTGGCAAGGAGACTCGGGGCTGAAGGTTGAGCTGATGCGCCGCGTACTGAACCGCAAACGGCCACAGAAAATGGGGGGCAGCCGCATGGATCATGGACGTACGAGCGACGTCCATGACCATGCCTATGCGGCGCTCAGCAATCCCATTTTGCTGTGGAGAGGCCGGAAGCGTGAAGGTCTGGCGGATGCCCTGTGCCCGAAAGAAGGCTCCCAGACGAGCAGAGGAAAACTCCCCGCCTCTGTCAGAGTGCAGACGCAGAACAGGAAAGTCCGAGCCGAAACTCTCTCTAACCTGGAGACGAGCTGCGCGGATCCAGTCGATCAACACCTCACTGACGTCGCCCTTGTTGTGCAAGGGAAAGACCGTGGTGTAACGCGAGTAGTCGTCAACCACCAACAGGAAGTAACGCTCGTGCCCCTGGCCACGGACGCGGGCGGGGCCCCACACGTCCATGTGAAGAGTCTGCAACGGAGCCTCTGTCGGGGGAAACTCGGAGGAGTGAGGGGCGGCGCGCTGTCGCCCCTCGACGCAGGGGACGCAGGTAGGGGCAGGCCCCGGAGGTAGGGGAGGGAGAGACCGGGGGAGACCAGAGACAAGGACACGGGAGGTCATGCCTCGGAGACGAGGCGAGGAGGGGTGACCAAGGCGGTGGTGCCAAAGGAGAGTCTGGAGAGACAGGAGACGACACGAGCAGGGAGCAGACTCAGGACTAGACCTGGATGCTGCAGCAAACACCTGACTCGACGCAATGACCTGACCAGGCTCAGCAGCCGGAGGAGACTGAGTAGTGAGGGTGTACACGCTCGACCCCGGCCGACGGGTGAACGTGGCCAAGTGTTGGCCTGTCCGAGCACACGTGCAATGGGTCACTCGCTGAGTCGCAGGAGTGAACTGGTCAACCCCCCTATCCTGTAGATCAGCGCCACTCACCAAGTTCGTAGAGAACGAGGGGAGGTAGAGACCTAACAGGGTGCCAGAGGGGGCTGCCGGACACGATAAGACAGTGGAGAAGCGAGCAAGGACAGGACCCCCAGAGGGGTCCGCCAGGGAGACCGCAACCGGCCGACTAAGCGGCGTAAGTGTGGTGCGGTCTTGAAAGAAGGAGCGAGAAGCACCCGAGTCAAGGGTGAAGGTGTGTAAGGCCTGAGGCGACGTGGTACCTGAGAGGGCAGACTCACCAGCGCCTGGGGCAGCAGACGCGCTAGCACCTAGAGCAGCAGCCTCACCAGCTCCTAGAGCAGCAGGCTCAATGCCCGGGTCAGGTGGAACACACAGGTAACAGTCACCCTCAACACTATTAGCAACAGCATAAATGGCAGCAAGAATAGCATCAAAATCAAGATCAAAGATAGCAAACCCCGCCCTAGACAGCTCTCCCCAACGAGGGATCTCAGAGGCCTCAGGGAGCTGGTGACGCCACGCGTCCGTCAAGCGGCCGAAGGAGCGCTGGGTGGAGTGCGGGCCCCCGCACTGCTCACCAGCGCGGTCGGCGGTGCGGAGAACGTAGGTGTAGGGACCCGTACCCCCACCGCGCTGACGCGCAGCGTACCACTCACGAAGCTGCTGAGGGGACAGGGTCTCACGACTGCGCTGCTGCTGCTGGCGAGTACCACCACCGGAGCCACTCCTCTACGCAGAGCTGCGACCAGGTCTACTGCTGCCGCCGCCGCCTCCGCCACCTCCGCTGCCTCTGCCGCCTCCACCACCTCCGCCGCCTCCGCTCGCTCCGCCACCGCTGCCGCCTCCTCCGCCTCCACTACTGCCACCGACACCTCCACCCCCGCCACCACTCCCACCACCACCCCCACCCTCTCCTTTGCCTCCACCACCACCTCCACCGCCCCCGCCAGCCCGTCTAGCGCCCTTGCCCCCTTTGCCCTTGCCGCTGCGGCGTCTTTCGCTCGGGGCAGACGCAGCGCCGACCGACTCGAAACAAACGAGGTCGGCCGCAGCAGCAGAGACAACAGAGGGCAAGAGGGGGGAGGGGGAACACCCCTCAAAGACGGGGGT